TTGACTTGACTCTCTAAATCTTGCTTTTTAATTCTTTTCTTATGTTTATACTACTGTAATTTATTATGTTAATCGATAATCTATACACAAGTCATTCTTTTTTCCCTACAGTTGAAGGAGGCGAAATAAATTGATTGAAAATGAAAAGTAAATCAAATTCACGATCCTAATTCTATGTGTTGTTCATTCACTTTGCTTCGTTACAAAAATAGTGTTTATTTGAATTACCTGCATAAAAAGGTGCTTTAATCGAATTTTGAACCGACGACTTTAGTCTTCTCTCTAAACTAAAAGGTGAGAGCTTGACTCTTCTTTTGGACACCTTATCTTATTTAATTAAACAATTTTCTGAAAAAAAAAAAAATAAAACCTTTAGATATATGTATTTGCCTAAGGGGCGGTGGACAAATTAACTTTGTCAAAGCAAGAGATGGTTATAAAAAAATATTATGAGTTTTGCTATATGTAGACTCCAGTGTACATTCCTTCTCAACAGAGTGTACACCAGAATGTACAAATAGCATTTCTCAAATATTATATATCGAACAAGTTAAAACTATTAATGCCAAATCTCACTAGACCTCAAAAATTTGCATAGGCACATCTACAGCAAAATGAATTTAAAATAATTAATGTAATTAAAAAAGTTAAATACGTTGTGCAGTATTACAATAATAAAGATTCATTGAATTATCAACTATTCAAGAAAATTGTTTCACGAGTACTTTCAAATAAGCAAATCAAAAACATAAAATATATGTCCCTCAACTCTATTCATGTTATTAAAAAATGAACACAAATTTTAATTAATGAGTAGATGTGCTAATTTAAATGAAGGTAGATGATAAGAATGCGATGAAATAGGTTATGGGCATTCGTGCATGAATGAACGAAATATGAGAATATCCAATGCAATTAAAATATGGTGCAGATAATAAAAGTGTGGTATCAATATAATCAGGAAAAATACATAACTACTAGATTATAAGAATACAATTTCTTAACTAACAATCTTTAAAAATAATTTCAAATTTTAGGTGATAAATGTAATAGAATAATGTATAAAATATAGAAGTAATATAGATCTAAAAATAGGAAATATTTAATTTATAAAAGATTTTTAACAGTTTTTATCCACAATCAAACACTAGATTTCTCTCTCTATAATCTCGATTCCAAAATTCTATCATTAATAACTAAGAGGGTGTATTCAATTTAGACTTTTAAATTTTTGGATTTAAAAAGTTTAGGGATATTTAATTGAAACTCTTTTAAAGTTACGGTGCATTCAATTGATACTTTTATAGACTTTTAAAAAATCTCTAAAAGTTACGGTTTATTCAACTAAAATTTTTTAGAAATCTTTATAAGTTTTCGGGTATTCAAATTTTAATGACTTCTAGAGACTTTTATAAAAGTTTATGGAGTACTAACTTTTAAGCAAAAAATACTCATATAAAATCTTAAAATTTGTGTCTCATTAATAACAAGATTTTGGGAGACTTTCACCAAAATTTATTTTTTTCTATCTTTCTTTCCTTTAACCTTCCATGGTATGTATGATTAAAATTT